CAGCCACAGCCACTCAGTCTTGGAAGGGTTGAGCCTGAGTCTGTTCCTCCCCATCCAGACCCGTACGGCCTCCAGGCAACGGGTCATCACGTCAAGGGCATCGTTGGGGTGGCCTGGGGTGGAAATGTACAGCTGCGTATCATCAGCGTACTGATGGAAATCCACCCCAAAGCCACGAATGATCTCCCCCAGCGGCTTTTGTTGTGGGGGAAATAAGCTGAAGGAGTGCTACATAGATACATATCCTGCCTTAAGCGCTTGAAGAATAGGCAAGACATTGATCTAAAAAAATAACCAAGTCTGCATCTGGTAATCGCCCCATTTAAACAAAGTGGGAGAACAGAGACATCAGACTGAATTCCTTGAAGACGTTTCGCTTCTCATCCAAGAAGCTTCCTCAGTTCTGACCAAGAGCCAGTTCTTCAGTCAGAACTGAAGAAGCTCTTTGGATGAGAAGCAAAATGTCTGCAAGGGGAAAAAAAACAAAGAAAATCCAGTTGCCTCTTGAGAAAGCACCTTTGGGACAACCATGAACTGGATGACTGGGAATCTCCATCGCTATTAGCTGCGTTCTTTTTACTGAATGCAAACAGGCAATTTCCTCTCTCTGTTCCAGCATGGTGTGATAATTGCAGAAGATGATGAATATTTTATTGAACCCCTGACCCTTGGGGTCAATATCAGTGGGGAACAAGGAGGAGAAGGAAGCCCGCACGTGATCTACAAACGGTCATCCCTCCAGCACCCACATATGGATACAGCTTGTGGTGTGTTAGGTAGGAGCTCTATTTGACAGCGTTTGATGAAGAAACGTCTCATTGTGATTTCTACTATATTTTTATATTCAAGTTTCTAGCCCTCATTTTTTTTTTTTAAAAAAATGTCCTTTAAAAGGACATTTGGATGCTTATTATCTGAAGTTTTATATAGAGAGAGAAATAAGACTTAAGGGAGGGGGGGAACATTCTTATATTTTCTACCCTTCCTGTGATTAGCAAAACACACAAAAATTACGCAAAGTGAGAGAGGCTGGGGGGCAACAGAAGGTTATTATCAACATGTAAGACTGTTATTGAAGTTCCTATTGGCAACCACAAAGCCACACTTATTATTTTTTTTATTTGCATTAAATTCAGGGCAGTTAATAGACTGGATTAGATTAAATGTAGGAGACACCACAGATGTCAATCACATTAAGGCAGGAACTTTAAAAGCCATCCAGCTAGTTTAAAAATGTTTTACTCCAGCAGACATTTGGTTCAAGGATGTAGTTGTGGACTTGAAATGTGGCCAGGGAGAAAGGAAAGAGACACATACCACCTCTAAATTGTGATGCTGGAATTCATGGGATTAGATTCCCAGTTTCCGGAAGGAGGAGAGGAGCGCAAGCCAGCTGACCTTGGATGTCTGACATTTTTTTCACATTAAAGCTGCCAAGCTTACCCTTTGTGTATTGATACTGCGCTATATTCCCCGGCTGAAAAAGAGGGAAAATCTGTTTCCAATTTGTTTCTTGGAAAACAAGAACTACTGGACAAATGTAATCTTGGAACAAGAAGTGGGCGCTTCGCATTCAGGTCCTTACCATCAAACACCGCCTTGCCTCCTTCCCATGCCAGATTTGGTTTGACTGTTGATGTTTCATGCAAAAGCCAACATGCGTGCCTGTTTCTGGATAATAATGGCTAATCCAGGTAGGCCAGAGGAAGTCTGCTTTTGAAGGTTAAGAGCAGACCCCTTGGCTTCTAAGTGGCATCTGGAGAAAATAGTAATAATAATAGTAATAATAGTAAAGTTGGAAGGGACCTTGGAGGTCATATAGTCCAACCCCCTGCTCAGGCAGGAAACCCTATACCATTTCGGACAAATGGCTGTCCAGTCTCTTCTTAAAAACTTCCAGTGTTGGAGCATTCACCGCTTCGGGAGGCATTTAGTTTTTGTGACGTACATTATCCCCAGATTTAATCATTTCATTCCTCATTATTTACAGTAACAACTTCTTAGCGATATCTATACTTACATTTTATTTATTAGATACTTATCAGATTTGGAAACTGGCCATCTCCTTTATAGAGGGGCTCTGGACAGTACATGAATTTCTGGGTAAATAAAACGACCACAGGTGTCACTGGTCAGCTTTCTTGGGCATAGATTCAGACGCTAATATCTTGGAAAGGCCCGGCACTTAAATTTTGGAGAGGCCTGAGGGCAGAATGCATTTTTTGAAGCTCTCTACTCCTGCATATTATAGGTGGTCCTCAACTTACGACCATTTGTTCAGCGACCATTATAGCAGCACTGAAAAAAGGGACTTATGGCCAGTCTATGAAGTTATGGCCATGGCAATGCCCCCACGATCATGTGATCATAGTTAAGTTGCTTGGCAGCCTGCCCACAATTATGACCGCAGGGGTCTTTCAACAGCCACCCAGCCACCCACCTACTTCCCTGCCCATCTATGCTCTTTTGGCCCCCTGCATTTCACAGTCCTTGCTGCCCTAACTGACCTTCACAATTGTCTTGCTCCCACTACTGACCACACATTCCTGCCCTGTCTGGGAGGAGTGGGCTCCGTGGTATCCGAAGCAGAACATCCAGATTCAGTCACAGTTTTGTTCCATACAGTATTAACCCTGTGAACTCTCAAGCTTCCTCCTTCCGTTATGTATTCAAGATGGACAGTATTTAATATTTATTTGTTACATATATGTAGGGGTGTGGGTCTATACATATGTTGTATATAGTATGTTTAAGTGTGTGTCATGTGTGTGTTTCTCTTTGAGAGCGGGCAACTAAATTTCATTTTTTGATGTGTGCCGTTGTGCCCACAGTAAAAACAAAATGACAATAAAGATTATCTTATCTGTCTCTTCACAAGGCAGCTGCTGGATGCATGAGACTTTCTTCCTCAGGTTACCCACAGCTGTTTCCTTGCAAGACCTGGGGCTTCCCTCCCCCTTCCCCTTCCCCTTCCTTTCTTCCCTTCCCTTCCCTTCCCTTCCCTTCTCTTCCCTTCCCTTCCCTTCCCTTCCCTTCCCTTTCCTTTCCTTTCCAGATTAGCAAAGTGTCTGGAGAAACCCAAAATTAAAAAAAAACACCTTTGAATTCCATTTTATCCAATTGCTTTAATTTCCTGTATTAAATGATATTGACCCATCCAATAATTTCAACGATACTTTAATGGGTCCCTGTAGTTTATACTGAGAGGAAAGAGGAGGTTCCTTTTGCAGGATAGATAAGATAACTTTTATTGTCATTTTTATACTGCGGGCACAATGGCACACACCAAAAATGAAATTTAGTTGCCCACTCTCAAAGTGAAACACATATATGACACACACCTAAACATACTATGAACAACATATGTACAGACCCACATCCCTACATATACGTAGCAATAAATATTAAATACTGTCCATCTTGAATACATAACGGAAGGAGGAAGCTTGAGAGTTCGCAAGGTTAATGCTGTATGGAATGAAACTCTGGCTGAATCTGGATGTTCTGCTTCGGATACCACGGAGCCCACTCCTTCCAGAAGGTAACAAGGAAAACAGGTCATGAAGAGGATGTGTAGTGTCCCAAATAATCTTACGGACCCTGCTCAAGCAGCGCTTCTGTGCTATGTCCTGGATGGAAGGGAGAGAACTGCCAATGATCTTTTCAGCCATCCTCACCACTCTCTGCACCGCCTTCCTGTCTGAAGCAGTGATGCCTCCAAACCAGACCGTGATGCTTTATGACAGGATGCTCTCAATCGTCCCCCTGTAGAAAGTGGTCAGGACAGGGGAAGGAAGATGTGCTTTCCTCATGCAGCGCAGAAAATGCAGGCGCTGCTGTGCCCGCTTCACCAGTTTCTCACTGTTGATTCCTTTGGCATTAAGCTAAAGCCAAGCACGGTGATGGTTTATCGTTGAATTGGCTAAAGGTGTGGGTTGGAAGCAATTCCAGGCATAAGAAGTCCATTGGTTTTGCTTTGTGAAGTATTGGAGGTCCGAGCGGGAGAGGAAGAAGAGAAAATGCTAAAAACCTTATCGCTATTTCCCTGCAGATGAGAAGCCGTGGAAAGGTAGACCCTGGTGGTTGCGACTGAAACCCTCCCCTTTGAAGACCCTGGGCAACTTTTCTCAAAGGGGGCAACTGCCTCTGAAGAGGTCAGTCAGCACTGAGCGTTATGTGGAGACTCTTGTGGTGGCTGATAAGATGATGGTGGGCTACCACGGCCGGCGAGACATAGAAGAGTACATCCTGGCTATCATGAATATTGTAAGTATTATAACCAAGACCTTTACCCCACTAATGATGATGATGATGATGATGATGATGATGATGATGATGATGATGATGATGGAAGGGACCTTGGAGGTCATCTAGTCCAACCCCCTGCTCAGGGTCCTTTGGGATATGGTAAAGCCTGTTTACCGACAGGTCAGAGAAGAATTTTTGAAGGTCACAACCTCGTAAGTGTCGAAGACCTCCGTCCAACAAGGTGACCAATTAACAAGATTGACAGTCCTTCAAAGAGGAATCAAGATCCAACGAAGAGACCTTGATTAGTTTCCATCCGTTGCTTCTTGTCCTGCCTTCAGGCACTTTGGAAAATAGCTTGACTCCCTCTTCTTTGGGGCAGCCCCTGAGATATTGGAAGACTGCTATCATGTCCCCCCTCGTCCTTCTCTTCATTAAACTAGACATGCCCAATTCCAGCATGGGAAGATCCTTGGGAGACAGGAGGAAGAGCCATAGTCTAGGTGCAGATTTGTCTCCCAAGTCATTCGCACATACCTTACTGTCATACACTACACATAGTCCTCAAATTATGACCACAATTGAGCCCAAAATTTCTGTTGCAAAGCAAGACACTTGTTAAGTGAATTTTGCCCTGTTTTATGACCTTTCTTGCCACAGTTGCTACATAAGTGAATTACTTCAGTTGTTAAGTTAGTAACACAGTCATTAAGTGAATCTGGCTTCCCCATTGACTTTGTTGTCAGAAGGTGGCAAAAGGGGATCACGTGACCCCGGGACATTGCAACTGCCATAAATATGAGCCAGTTGCCAAGCATCTGAATTTTGATCACATGACCAAGGAATGCTGCAATGGTCATAAGTGTGAAAAACCTTCATAAGTCACTTTTATTTAGTGCTGTTGCAACTTTGAACGGTCACTAAATGAATGACTGTGAGTAGAGGACCCCCTGTATTACCATAATTTTCTGCTCCCATTTTTGTGATATAGTGGCCTCCATAGCTGACTAATCTGGATTCTCAGTCACCCAGGTCATGGTTGTCCCAAAGCTGCTTTTTCAAGAGGCAACTGGACTTTCTTGTTTTTCTTTGAAGACGTTTCGCTTCTCATCCAAGAAGCTTCTTCGACTCTGACTGGATGGTGGGGAATGGAAGGATTTATATTCCTTGCAGAGAGCTGGTCATTTGCATTCCCTTAGAGAATCATTGAGGCCACTTGGGGGTTTGTCTGTGTCCTCAGGGTCACCTGAGTAGTGCAAATGGGTGTGGAGCCTTCTTGGAACTGCTGAAAGGACTGTGTTGTGGAGCTGTGCTGCGCCTGTGTTCACCAGGGCAGAAAACATCCTGGCAGACTGGTGGAAGTGAGACATGGTTAACCACAAAATCTCCCTTAAACATGCCTTATTCCTCTAACCTCTCACTTTAGCTTGAAAAGTTCCTCTGTATTCTGGCAATCCTGCAAAAGATGCCATTTCTGATCAATCATGATGCTGAATCCATCTTCTTTTTAACACTGGTGTTTCCTTTCTTTCCTGGAGGTCAGGTTGCTAAACTTTTCCAAGACTCAAGTTTGGGCAATATCGTGAACATTCTCGTAACCCGCCTTATCCTGCTGACAGAGGACCAGGTAAGGAGGGAATTCCCAAAGGAAGGAGGAGGAATAGATTATTTTAAATATATATATCTATACAGTATTTTGGTAAAGACTGGACGTACTACAAAGTAACATTCAATTACTCTACTACTTCAGCATTAGGAATGAAAGACCAGTTGTTAAGTTGCTAAGTTGTATCCGAGTTTTCGTGTCCCCATGGATTATAGCATGCCAGCCTCCCCCCTCATCCTCCATTGTCTCCTGGAGTTTGCCCAAATTTATGTTCATTGCATCGATGACACTATCTAACCATCTCATCCTCTGCCATTCCTCCCTTTCTCCTTTTGCCTTCCATCTTTCCCAGCATGAATCCTTTTCCAATGAATCCTCTCTTCTCATTTGATGGCTAAAGTATTTGAGCTTCAGTTTCAGTCTGTGTCCTTCCAAAAAACAGTCTAGTTCAGACATGTCAAACACAAGGCCCGGAGGCCAGATGCGTCCCGCGAAATGGTTTCATGTGGCCCGCGAAGCCATCCTGGAAACAGTGAGGGAACGGCCCCCGCTGCCTTGGCCAATTTTGTGGTGGGCATCTATGCTGAAACGCATTCAGTCTTAGCTCCACAAGGCCATCTAGAAACAGTGAGGAACCAGCCCCTGCTGTGTCGGCCCCGCCCCCTGGGTGCATGCTGGGGAGGTGTCACCCTTTGTGAGGAATGAAGAAATGGACCATGCCTTGGCGCTTGCCCCGGTCCCATCCCCTTCTGCCAGAGACCCTCAGATCTGTCCCGCTCCTGCCCAGGCCCCCACAGGCACCCTTGACGCGAATGATGTAGAGTTGACCATGCCCACCCAGTGGGCCACACCCACTCCATCCACGCCCACCCGTTAGGCCGCACCCACCCTGGCCACACACACCCGCCCCCCGAGGGCAACCACAATGCTGATGCGGCCCTCAATGAAATTGAGTTTGACACCCCTGGTCTAGTTTGATTTTCTTTAGGATTGACTGATCTGATCTCCTTATGGTCCAAGGGACTCCCAAGAATCTTCTCTAGCACCAAGCTTGGAATATTAGGGACGATCATAAAAGACTGTGAAGAATCACCACCAATCCCGAGGCTAATTCTTGGAGAGAATGGCATATATAGCAATCTAGCTATATATGAAAAATGTTTTCACCCCCAACGTGCCACTGAACATTTTCAAAACCATCTAGAACTAAATAAAAAGAGAAAGCTGAAGAAATGCAGTGACTTGAGACCCTAATAAAGAACGAGGGGGTTCCTAGAAGGAAAGGCTCATATAATTTCCTCTCCCACGCAGGAAATTATTCCCCCAGAAAAGCCTTTCTGGAAATGACCCCAAATAATGTGGGAAAGAATGAGGAGGTAATGCAGTAATATAAGAGGAGATTGTCAACCTGAAGGGAGATCAATAACAAAATGTAGCTGCAAAGAAGGCCTCATCTTATGTCCCAAAAGAGACCAATAGGAGCGTATCAAGATGCCAAGGAAAATTCTCCAAAAATTGAGGGGTCCGTGGTGGTCTCTGAGCTCGGTTGTTTTCTTGCAGACATTTCATTACCCAAACTCAATAACATCATCAGTGCTAGAGGATAGCACTGATGATGTTACCTAACTGGGTAATGAAATGTCTGCAAGAAAACAACCGAGCTCAGAGACCACCACGGACCCCTCGTAACAACCCTGAGCTACAAATATTCTCCTTTACTGGTCTTCAGAAACCATCCACGAGCAGGCTAGTTCCTCATGACATCATTCACGTTTGGACTGTCTGACCTGTCATTTTCTCCAGCCCACCCTGGAAATCAACCATCATGCTGGGAAGTCCCTTGACAGCTTTTGCAAGTGGCAGAAGGCTATTGTGAGCCTCAGCGGTGATGGGAACGCCATTCCTGACAACGGCATCGCGAACCATGACACCGCGGTTTTGATTACCAGGTAAGCCTTCGAGTTACGACCATTTGTTTAGTGGCTATTCGATGTGATGATGATGATGATGATGATGATGATGATGATGATGATGAAAAAATGACTTACAACAGTCCCTGCATTTACAACTGTTGCAGCAACCACCTGGTCCCATGATCAGAATTTGGGTGCTTGGCAATCAACATGTCTTCATAGTGGTTGCAGTGTCCTGAAGTTGTGTGATCACCATCTGCAACATTTCCAGCCAGTTTCAGACAAGCGGAGTTAATGAGGGGACCTGGATTTGCTTAACAATTGCATGATTCACTTAACAACCACAGTAATTCGCCGCAGCAAAAAAGGTCATAAAATCAGCCCCAACTCATTTAATGACCAGCTTGCTTAGTAACAGAAGTTCTGGTCACAATAAGTTCTGGTCACAACAAGAAGAGACTGGACAGCCATTTGTCCGAAAGGGTATAGGGTTTCCTGCCTGAGCAGAGGGTTGGACTAGATTACCTCCAAGGTCCCTTCCAACATCATCATCATCATCTTCATCATCATCATCATCATCATCATCATCATCATCATCATCATCATCATCATCATCATTATTATTATTATTGTGGTCGTACGTTAAGGACTATCTGTAGGGCTTATGTTGAAATACAGTTTCTGTTCATCTTTGTAGTTTACTTTCATGAAATAAAACCTTCATATTTCTTTCCGTTTGCTGGAATATTCCTCTGCCTGACTCGGCTCTGAAATCCTGCAAGATAACCACTGTTTCTCTGGGGAACTACGTCTTTCCGAGGAACTACATCTTTTGCCTCCCTTCATTTTAGTTGTGCAAGATAAGGAAGGGAAGAAAAGTATGCTAACTTGGAATGTCTTGTCTTTCAACACAACTGCTTGAGCAATTGCTTGTGGGCCTTCCCACAGAGTCCCTGGGGCATATTTACAAAACCAAACCTTGGACAAAAACCCAAATGCCTTGTAAAACTTCTCTGTGTCTCATAAATTCCGCATCTCTAGATAACATCCTGCTGTGCTTTGGCATCTGGGGTTTTTTGAAGGGTGAAAGAGTTCATTGGTTTGTTTTTTGCAAAAGGCACAGATGTGAGTAAGAGATGAAGCACCAAGAAAACTTACAAAATTAAGGTTTAGCCCAGTGGTGGCGAACCTATGGCATGGGTGCCAGAGGCGGCACTCAGAGCCCTCTCTGTGGGCACACGCGCCGTCGCCCCAGTCCTAGGCCTTCAGCTGGGTTTTATAAAACCTTTTCGCTTTAGGCCTCCGCTGCCATGTGCAAAAAAAAAAAAAAAGGTTCAATCAATCAGTCAATTTCAACTTCTCGCGGGAAAAAAAAGATCTTGCAAAGTTGGAATTGATTGATTGAACTTTTTAGTCCCAGCCAGTCTGCCGTTACCACCACAGCCACGCCCACCCAATGGGCCACACCCACCCAATGGGCCACACCCACCCGGCACCCGACGATGCATAAGTGGGTTTTGGGTTGCAGTTTGGGCACTCGGTCTCTAAAAGGTTCGCCATCAATGGTTTAGCCCATCTGTCCAGATTTGTATCCCATTTGTAGGCCGGACAAATTAGGAAGCCATTTTTTGCAGCAGTGGGCGGTATCAAATGGGGTGAAGTTTCAGGCAAAAGGAAGAACCAACCTCTTGAGTGACAGCTACAAAGGATGCTAAGTCTGACTGTGTTGTTTGCGAGGATTTATAGGCAATTAGAAGGATGCTTGACAATCATGACATTGCAGTGGTCAGTTGGATAGCAACCGCTCAAGTTGCTTTCAGAGGAAACCTGCTTAATTTGAATTTCCCAAAATATTACATGAACTGAAGTAGAATCTGCCTTTCTGATGTTTGTAACAAGGGTTTCTTTTCAAAACAGGGTAATAATAATAATATAATAATAATAATAATAATAATAATAATAATAATAATAATAATAATAATAATAATAATAATAATAATAATAATAATAATAATAATAAAGTCGGAAGGGACCTTGGAGATCATCTAGTCCAACCCCCTGCTCAGGCAGGAAACCCTATACCATTTCAGACAAATGGCTGTCCAGTCTCTTCCTAAAAACTTCCAGTGTTGGAGCATTCACCACTTCTGGAGGCAGGTTGTTCCACTGGTTAATTGTTCTAACTGTCAGGAAGTTTCTCATTAGTTCTAGGTTGCTTCTCTCTTTGGTTAGTTTCCATCCATTGCTCCTTGTCCTGCCTTCAGGCGCCTTGGAAAATAGCTTGATTCCCTCTTCTTTCTGGTAGCCCCTGAGATATTGGAACACTGCTATCATGTCCCCCCTCGTCCTTCTCTTCTGTTTTGGAGAAGCGCACATAGTTAACACCTATGAATTTTCAAGCAGACTTTTAAAAAAAAACATGGTGAAATCAAATAAGAAGTAATGAATTTGAAACTTGCAAAAAAGAGAAAACTCACCTGAATCTCATGCTGGAAAAAAACAAAAAAATAAATAAATAGATGAACAGAACAATTTGGTGGCAATTCTTTACCCTTCCAGTTAGTGAAAATGTTAAAATCAAACACGTTTTGGAATAGTGTGCCTCCTTTTACAGTTATTTGGGTGCGTTTCCATCTTTAAAGACATAGCTGCCAATTTCTCCCTCTCTGTCTGGCTCAGCGCAAGAGAGGAAAAATGTATTCACAATTTCCTTGCTTCCGTTGTGTATCCCTGACATACCGTCTCGTGTCTGTCTATCATTGGTCTTCAACAGGGCCTTTTCCTCCTTGCTCCAACCAAGGCACAAACATGTGGTAGCCCCATAACATTGGCTTCATCTCATCCCTAACCCATGAGTAAGACGGGCTTAAGTCATCCTTGGCTGAAATGTTTTTTCCCCTTTCCTCCTACATGGTCTAACGACAGTCTCAGGATATGTAAAATCTGTTAAAATCTCTTCCCCGTTACTTTGGAGGAAAATCAGTGGGCTGACAATGACTAAGAAGAGAGGCAGTTGAGGTTAGAGAGAGAAAAGCAATAAGGACGGCAGCTTTCATGCCAGTATAGATAGATCTCGACTTACGACCAGTTGAGCCCAACATTTCTGTTGCTAAGCGCTAATTGTTCAGCTAATTGTGTCCCATTTCTTGCCACAATTGTTAAGTGGATCGTTGCAGTTGTTAAATTAATAACACGGCTGTTAAGAGAATCTGGCTTCCCCATTAACTTTGCTTGTCAGAAGGTCGCAAAAGGTGATCACGTGACCCCCCAGGACATTGCAACCGTCATACATACATGCCAGTTGCCAAGCCTCTTAATTTTGAACATATTATCATGGGGTTGCAGTAATGGGTGTAAGTGTGAAAAAATGATCATATGTCTCTTTTTTTCAGTGCCATTGCAACTGTGAATGGTCACTGAACAAAAGTGTCCGAATTTTAATCACGTGACCATGGGGATGTTGCAACGGTCATAAGGGTGAAAAACCGCCCTAGGTCACTTTTTTCAGTGCTGTTGTATCTTTAAATGGTCATTAAATGAATGGTTGTAAGTTGAGGACTACCTGTATCTTTTTTTTTTTTTGCTGATGCTCAGAGGGGGGGGAGGAGAGCCTTAACTGAGCAGAGGGGGGAAGCCTTAAGTTCAACTTACCATCACCTTGAGCTGAGACTGTGCCATTACAAAGTTTATCAAATTCCCAGGGAATGCATAACTCTCCAAGACCTAGTTTTCTTTTATAATAATAATAATAATAATAATAATAATAATAATAATAATAATAATAATAATAATAATAATAATAATAATAATAATAATAATAATAATAATAATAATGCCACCACTGCCACCCGGAGCAGGAGCCCCGCCCAGCACAAAGGAGGCGAAGTGGCCGACTAGCAAGCTTGAGTAGTGCTTGTTGATTGGTGGACTGGAAGAAAAGGGAGGGGGAAGCATTTTACATTCGTGCATGTGCACACAGGGCTGTGAGCACGCACGCACTGCAAATGGGGTGGGGCTAGTGCCTACTCACTTGCGTGATGCAGCGCCTTGTATCTGGATCCTGCGGTGCAGCAGCAGCCATTTTTGCGCCTTGCACCACAGTGGCCCATTTTTGCGCCCCCGGTTTTTATTTATTTATTTATTTATTTTAATTTGTATCCCGCCCTTCTCCCGACGGGACTCAGGGCGGCTCACAACATATTTAAAACAAAGGCATATATACAATCCCCCCCCCGTAAAACCGAATTAAACCAAATTTTAAAGTTGTGATTATTTCGAATTCCTTAAAATAAACCCAGTGTAAAATCCTTCCTAGGCCAGGTCCGCTTGCTGGAAAAGCCATGTCTTGAGGGCGCGACGGAAAGTAAGGAGATCCGGAATCGTCCGAATCTCAGGGGGTAGTTCGTTCCAGAGGGCAGGGGCACCCACAGAGAAGGCCCTCCCCCTGGGGGTCGCCAGCCGACATTGCTTGGCCGACGGCACCCTGAGGAGACCCACTCTGTGGGAGCG